TATATATATATATTGAGTACTAATATATATATATATATATATATATATATATATATATATATATATATATATATATACTGGATGTAACAGCAAAATTGGGCAAACAGTGTAACAGCATAATTATCCATCCTATAAAATGTATAATATCTAAAAGTAACACTAAACTAATTGTTTTTCCAGGTTTTCAGATAAGACCTTTACCCATCTTCATGTTTGTCGGAAGAATCACAGAAATAAAGCCTTTCAATTACTCAGCGAGAAAGAGATCAAGTTAAAATCGTTTTGTGCCAACCCTACTTTATATTACATCTATCGGACTGCACACTGGAGAAAACAATAAAGAAAACATTCTCTTGCATAAGAAAACCAACGTTTCCTCCGGCGTGACTTGAAAGGGATACAGAACATATATGGGTTGTTCGCTCTGTGGCCGACCAGTCTAAGGCAGAGGAAATTTTACAAGTACACGAAAGAACTACTTGTGCATGAGAAGGAAGTTACTTTTATTCGGAACAGGGAGTATGAAGATTCTGTTAAGTAAGGGATTGATTGTCTTGATGATCAACACTCGAAATAGTGACCCTTTGTTAAAATATGCATTTATCTCAGCTGCTAAGTCGACTATTATCTAAATGCATTTTTGTGTTTGTTTCTTGTTTGTTTTTTTTCTGTGCGTGTTTTTAGATAACAGCATATTTTAACATCGCGTCAGTATTTCGATATATACATATCTATATTAATATATATGTCTCTTTCTCTGAGACATATATATATTAATATAGATAGATAGAGAGAGAGAGAGAGAAAGAGAGAGACACACACACATATGTATATAGTTTTAATCCTTTCTAAGTCCAAGTGTTAATTTCTTAGTTACTGTAGGAAATTGATCAAGAAAAATTTGCCAATTTTTTTTTCAAAAGTTAATTTTTAAAAATATTTTTCAACTGTAGTATTTTATTCTAGTATTTGTTATATAACACTTTACTGCTACAAACATTTAAGAACTTTGTTGCTATACTAGTAGTTCTTACTATTTACTGTTGGCCGCAATTCTCTTCCAGAATTTTAAAATTTTGATTATTTCGACTAATATCTGTCTAAACTGTGAATGTGAATATGGGTCTTCCTTTACATGTTATGAGATTGAACTATGATCTTTCAAGTGAAACGTAAGCCTTCTCGTCGTCGGTGTCATTGTTGTAAAACCAACATACGTAGTAAAATTTTTACCAGAGATGCAATCTGTCAAATGACATTAATTTGACTTACGGTGTTGGTTTTTTTCAAGACACTAGTTGATGGAGAAGAGCTTTTACGAATGACTAGGTTGGTTGTATTAAATTTAGTATAGTATATAAATCATTTTATTATTTTACTTGGATCAGTCGGGGATATATTAGTGCTTTTGAGTCTTTTAGAATTATTTCCTCCTGCTTATAGTTAGAATGTATTTGATTACGGTGTAATAGTTTGATTTGTTTAGATATGTTATTTGAGGACTTATAATGTTTATTTTTATTTATGTTAATATTCCCAATAGCTCGGCTAATTTTTTCATCAAAGACGTAATTAGGAGAATCATTATTAATGAGGGTTTTTTTAATAGGTTTTAAGTCATTATGGAAAATGTTTCTTTGTGAAGTGTTTGCTTTTGCACGGTTTATTAAGTTTTGTATCGTAGCTATTTTGTAACAGTTAGTACATTCATTTTTTTTTAGTTAAGAGTGCATGTTCATGCTAGTTGTTTTTTTTATATGTAGAGATAGTAAATGTGTTATTATTAGTGTCTATCAATACATCAAGAAACTGGATTTTATTATCGTTAAGTCCGTATGTGAAATTAAGTATGTGAGGGTTTTTTTAGTTTTTTTGCTTTTTTTGTAGTTCGATTATTTCGTATATATTTTTGACTAAAATGAGAATGCCATCTACAAATCTTTGGTAAATAGAAGGTTTTTTGTATTAAGTACATTTTTTTCGAGACTAGTCATCTAGAATTTGCTAAATGTTGATCCCAGCAGGGAACCCATACAAAGAATATCTCATTTTAAGTATATGTTATTTTGATGATCGTAGAAAGGAACATCTATGGTGCACATCAAGATTAGTTTTCTTCAAATATTAGAACTAATTTTAATGGCGGGAGAGATGAATTGATGTAGATATTCTTTCTGGTTATATCGATTGCTTCCCTGACTGAGACGTTGGTGAATAAACTTTCAACGTGAAATGATGCTATAGTTTCATTATTAGATTTATATATATATATATATATATATATATATATATATATATATATATATATATATATATATATATGTGTGTGTGTGTGTGTGTGTGTGATAAATTACGTTAGAAATGCTACACAGTTTACTTTAAGTATTAAAGAAACGCCCTCAAGTAATTTTTCATGTATGCTGTAACGAAAGACACTGCATGAAATTTATGCCGAACAGAATTTTTATTACACTTCCTCAATGAAAAATATTTTTGATGTTTTCCTGCGCGTGTAATTATTAGTAATATGGTTTATTTATTTATTTGTGTTTTTATTTGAATAAAAATGTAGTCAAAATAAACGTCTAATGACTATTATCTTCTTTTGTCTTTTCATGAAAGTGACCCTAAAGGGTGCTACACATCATTGTTAATCTCACTTTATATTTTGACTTAATTTACATACACTTGAGTCAGTTTTCTTTTATAAACACACTTGTGAAATGATGAAACCTAAAAGAAAATAACAATGAAACAGGAGGGAAGCCATCAACGGAACTGGCATTTCTGCAATTTCTCTCGGTAAACAGCTTTTGAAACTGTTGATGTAAATTTTCACTGAATATTTACCATAGGGAAGAAAATTTTATGACATTTGCAAAAAAGATAAATTAAACATGCAAATACATTACAATTTATCAAAATGATACATTACAACTGAAAATATATTTTTTATAAACAAAGAGAATATAAACTTAAGAGTTACTTCCTAGTTGTAAGCCAAAATGTAAGTAGGGTAGGAAACAAAAAATAAAGATTAAAAGCAAATGCAAATAATTAAAAGAACAATATATCAAAACCAAAATTCGAGACTTTTTTACAGTAAGGTTCACTCTGCAGAAGTCCCGGTGGCCAATCGATGAGGAGGGTTGGATTAATGGATAGAAGGGGAGATAACTGTTGACTCTAGACTTGAACAGGTTCAGACTGCAGCGATTGTAGAAACATCATCTTGGGAGGCTGTTCCATAGAGGTTTCTCTTGCTGAAATGATTATATTACTGGGAATGTGTTCAGTGAGACGTGGTAAATTGGTGAAGGAATGGCCTTTGTTACCCAAATTTGAATTTCAAGAAAGGATCGAGAATAAGAGCATGACCTTGTCAGCCGATGATATTACATCGGGGCCATTTATAATTATGGGCAAAGCCGTTTTGCCTCTGTTTATAATTTAGTTTGTGATATTCCAGAATTCGCGAGATTCAGTTTGTTTATTTTCAACTTTGACATAGTTCGTGCTTAGCTGCACTTTGCATTTTCCATAACTCCCCGAAAGCGATTGCGGGCGGTTCTAAAAGACGTAATGGCCAGTCTACACCGCTCCTTGCGATAGATTTTGAAATAGTGATTCCGGTGAGCCATGGCCGCAGCGCATTCAGCAGTGAACCAGGGCTGACTCTTTGTTTTTGTAGGATTTTTTTTATTTGGTAGGGTTTAAAACACTCCATTCCAGAAAGTATCCATTCGGAGATTACGGCAGCAATTTTAACGGTAGCATGTTTGAAGATGGTTGGGAGAGGAGCTTCCGTCATATAGGATCGGAGGTTGTCTGATTCTACTTCCACATAGCGTAAAACCGTTCTATGGAAGTTAAATGTGATATCATTGGGTTGGAGTTAATCTGGTCACTGATCGGAGAAATTTCTGCACTCACTGACTGTGCCAGTTCAGAAGCTTTGGCTGAACATTCATGTTAGAAAACGGTCGAGGAGGTTTGCGCGCTGTCCCGTCGCATCCGGGACTCGGGTGGGGTCTTCAATGATCTGGGTTAGGGAGACGTCTCTACAATATCAGTCTTCCTCATCGGTTTTGTTAGAGTGGAGTAACCACTATTTGTGGTGAACATTGAAGTCACCGTATATGTGAAAATTGATCAAGGGAAATTCGGCGAGAATATTTTCAATCCTCTTTGATATTTGTTCAAAGATTACTGACACTTCATCCTAAGGATGATACAGGGCAAAGACGAATGTGGTACTATGTATGTCCCACGCAAAAACACATATACGGGAGATCAGGGTCCTCGCATTGTATCCCCCTGCCAAAGGGAAACCCGTCATTGATGTAGGCACGCAGCCCGTGACGATGATGTTTTAGGTGGTCGTATTTTTTATAATGGGTGAGTAGCCAGAGATTATGAGCTTCTGTATGGTGTTTGAGTCATTGACAAACTTTTCATACAGGAGCAGAAGGTCAGATTTAGTCTAGAATGTTGGAATATAGCCCTCCTTACATTGGTGTGCAAGAGTTGATAGAACTCATCTTTGTTTTGGATGGCTTGGTGGATGAAAGTGAAATAAACACCTATTGGAGATACTGCTATAACAGTAATCATTATCATCGAGAGGCCTCATCGGACACTACTGAAACTTTTCACAAAATGGCAGTACAGTACACCTGCTGATAGGATAGCCTTCTTTAAAGTTAGTCGAAGGTTCGGATACCTAATTCTCGGGCGGATAACGCCAAAACCCAGAAAACGTTTACCTGCAGCATCAACACAGGAAAGATTTAGTAACTATACTCTAAGTATACGTGTCTTGTCCGCGTAAATATCGTACCGGTCAGGGACTTAGGCTACCAAGTCATGCTCCCTCATATACATGAGGAATAAAAACTCCATTGGGAGAAGGGATTGACGAAGGTTGATCAGGGATACATGTTCATAATCTACCACCATTTGAATTAGTATCAGAAGCATAAGTAGGGAAGATACTCATTTTATTTGAGAGAGAGAGAGAGAGAGAGAGAGAGAGAGAGAGAGAGAAAGAGAAAGAGAAAGAGGGGGAGAGAGAGAAGAAAGAAAAATTTTAAAAAATTAGAAAAGTTTAGAATTAAGACATAAGGTTGGAATTGACACTTGTTCTGAGAATTCATTCGAATCGGCTGGCCAGGAGGTGGGGGTCCGGAGAAAGATTAAGGATAGGCATGATAGTTTTAACTTAATATGAGTCTCAAGAACGCCTCCTTGAGAAGCGTACATATTTGCTCACGAGCCAGTTTACCACGACAGAAAAAATATCCATTATGAAAGTATGTGACATGTACCATATATATAAGTATAATGATCAGATTTTTACGTACATTATCGATGGTAGCAATATACACAAGAAACTTTTTTGAAGAGGTTAAAAATCATGCATTTTCGGTGACCGGTTGCACAATACACAGGTATTTATTTTCTGTAGGGATTAAAATTAATGCAAAATATTCAGAGGTTGCGCTATAGATGAAGTCGCCTTATCCACGCGTATTTACGGTATTCTTTGATGTGCTTCAGTCGTCGTGTATTTTTAATTGCCCAGACCGGTTCCAGCGCTATCTGTACTTGAATTATGGTCTGGATGTGTGGATGCAGTGAATTTAGTGAGAACTGCACTATGTCTTATATATGATTTAATTTTGGCAAGCGTGAGTTCAGACTGTTTACTAGGATGTCATCCACGCGGGTTGTTCATTTGCTTTGCAAGGAAACATGACTAACATAAAAGTTGTAAAATGCTCTCCAGCAAGATTTGTATGCACCTCGCATTTATAACAAGAGTCATCAGTTTTTAAATTGTTCAGTTTGTGAATTCCAAATGAAAGCAGCCGGTACCATATGCAGGGATTCCCAACAGCAGCGTACACAACACCCTGATACTGATATGTTGAGTCGATATTATCTTGCGGTTTCCACACAAACGAACTCGACTGTCTATTGCAGAGATTTTTTTTTAGAAATAAAAGAAAAGTGTACTGAGCTTTTTTGTAATGTTTCTCCTCCTATATGGCAGTGAATGCTGGTCAATCTCCTCAGATGAGACTTGACGCAACAGAAATATGGTTTAGGAGAGATAGCAAAAAACAAAATCGATTAAGAGCTACAAAAATAGGAAAAAGTTGAAAGTCATGATCTCCAACGTCCTGAGGGGTCACGGCATACAGAAGAAGTAATAGTCGTAGAATACACAAGGATTTTAATCAATCGTTAAATTAAGAATTATGATTCCTCATAAAATTCAAAAAGTAACACCGTGAAATTTTTATGGGTATTGCCAGTTACTCTAATAAGTTTAGATAACAGAATATATGACTTTATCAAAATCTACATATTTGACCATGTAGGAAAAAATCCAACGGATAGTAATAAATAGCTTATTCTTCAGATGTGTGCTTTTTCGAATTAGCTTTCAATCTAATTGTGCGGAAGAAGTTTTGAAGTCTAAAAGATCCAGCTACACAAACCAGAATTGTAACAGAGAAAAAAAATAAAACAAATGAATCTGGTGCCAATTTCAGTAGCTCAGATCGAAAAGAAACTAATTTTTAGTTTACATTTTATAGAGCAGTGAGCGACAATCTGAGTATCTGTAAGACTTGGTGCATTAAACATGCGATACCTTTAAAATATAAAGATAAATGCAACTCTCGTAAATAACACCCTTTCCAATGTCATTGAAATAATGAAGATAATGAGAGAAGAGAGAAGTGGTGGTGATGAAAGAAGAAGAAGAAGAAGAATTTATAGAAATTGAATAAGAAGATAGAGAAGAAAATGAAGAAGCAGCAGAGATTTAGAATACGAAGAAGATAAAGAAGATATTGAAGAAGAAGAAGAAGAAGAAGAAGATATAGAAATAGATATGGAAAAAAAGACGATAGAAAAGATGAAGATGGCGAAGAAGATATAGAAGAAGAAAAAGATATAGAAGAAGACGAATGCATAAATGAAGAAGTTATAGAAAAAGAAGATATGGAAGTAGAAGAAAAAGAAGAAGAAAAAGGTGAAGAAATATATGGAAGAAGAAGAAGAAGAAGAAGAAGAAGAAGAAGAAATATATGAAAGAAGACGATATAAAAGATGAAGAATAGAATAATAGAATACATAGGAAAAGAAAAAGAACGTCAACAACAAAATATAGAAGAAGAAGAAGAAGAAGAAGAAGAAGAAGAAGAAGAAGAAGAAGAAGAAGAAGAAGAAATAATAATCATATCTGAAGAGGTAGGTGTGCAGAAAAGAACACGCAATTTTAGAAAACGCATGAGATTGTTCGGTTACGGTAGACTATCAGCAGGAAGTTTTTGCCCAGAAGGAAGGTTTTGTGTTTAAATTTATACCTTGATTATAGGTGGAATAACTGTTTACGTGCAAGAAACATTCGACATTTTTGATTTAACAATTTACGTTTCTTTCGGTCGATATTTATAAAATTGTTACTTTTTTTAATCATTTCACTGCAATTAAGGGAATAAAGCCACTAAGACGCAAGAGGTTACTGACTGTTTGAGAATATAACAACAACTACAATTAAGGAGATTAGATAATAAAAGAACAAGAATTAAGAAGACAGGAAATAACAAGTGACATTGCATTTAAATTTTTGAAGATCAAAGTTAAATGGAAAGCGAAAATCTAAAAGAGTTTCACAACTGAGAAGTGCGACAGAAGAAACTGTTAGCATAGAACTTACGGTTAGATCTAGGCATTTCAGCTGTAAAATAATGAGATATTGCTGCCAATCTAGTACTGCGTTTAAATCCATAAAGTCTAGATATTGCAGAAGTTTCATCAGAAAAAATACCATGAAATTATTTATGGAAAATGTATAGTGAAGCTATGTTAAGTTGGCGGGAAAAGTGACAGAAGCCGATATGCCAGGTCAGTCTCTTAAAAGAGTTTTTTCACGAAAATAGGCTTCTCACGTCTCACTGTTATCGATTTTCTAGTATTAATGCGAGTTTAAGAACTTACATTTTGTATAAGGTAGAGTAGAAAGTCAACATTATGAATAAAACACTATATGTTTTCTTTCTTTTATCTGTTATATTTACTATGCATTTTAGTTTCTGCTGCTGTGCGCCGTCTTTAAGTGACCTGGTATTTGTTATTTGTTAAAGTTCTTAGCAATCTTCACTGCCTTATTAAGTTGAACATGTAATAGAAGAATATGATCTCACGTTGGCATATCCGAAATTTCTCTTTGACATTTCCGAAATTCTACCCACACTTATCTTGCGCACTGGAAGCAGTCTTGAGTAAAATTTGTGTATTGTTTATTTCTGCAGCTGACATCACGCAAGCGATATCGCGAAAAGCGAAACCACAGAGAATTGCGAACTCTGTCCCAAATACCGTTCATTTCATTTAATCGTCAAATTTCTGCAGATATTTAAAGTGCATGCACACGCCTGCACACACACACACACACACACACACACACACACACACACACACACACATATATATATATATATATATATATATATATATATATATATATATATATATATATTAAGGTGCCTATACACGTTCGGTAGAATTACATCTTTGTGTACTTTTTATCAGAACGTTTAGGATGTCTGCTACATTTGGAAACGTTCCAGTCATGTTGGTTGGAAATAAGAAGCCATGTGGATTCTCATTGCTCGTGCCACACGTTCTAGATTATTGCAGCTCGATGAGAACTTTTTTCACGTTGCTGGGCAAGTTTACTCAATTCAAGGAATATTTGGCTTACCCTCTCATCTTTTTCTCTGCTGAGCTGAAAAATCCTGTGTTTTGATGTTATATGCTGTCATTTTTCAGTATGGTATTATTTATCCTGATGCATCTGTTCTTGACTGCAATAATAGCTGATTCAATTTCTTTATTCAGATGTCCTCTGCGTAACCATGTCCTCGATCTGTTTTCTATTTTCCCTTAAAAATTTACATGATTAGTCTTCCCATTTTTTAAAAATTTGTTGATTTCTTCTTTGTACCACATGATGTCGGTTTTTTTTTTTAAATTTCTTGTTGCACAGTTGCGATTGGTTTTAATAATATTCAATTTGACGAATTACTTATATTTATCAATTTTTAACCATCTGGAGAGAAACTTCGATAGTAATAAATCTTCTAATACATTCTTTCAGATGCGCACCATTTTCTTTTTACTTCCACCATTCCAGGCCTTTACTTCTATGACACTTCCATTGAGTCGAACCACTTTAATTTCCTCCGTGTTCCAAACATGAGAAGCCAAACCTACACAGGCAGCTTTTTACCAAGAACTACCACATTGCGTAATATACTCACGTGGGCTTGCTTCGATGAACAATTCAAACGGGAGCTCTTCAAGTCAAGGGTCAATTTTAATCTTTTATAGTTATCTTCAAAATCTTCAGTTTCAACCATTTTCTTTTGAAGTTTTATAATCATATTTACACTTACTTTGGGGTAACATCTTTACTCCAACAAACAATCTGGCAAACATAGAGTTTCATAGAAAAATTCCTCTTTTTATATCCACTAAGGTATCTACTACGATAGAGAACTTTCCTAAAACCTGTTCTGCCAACCATTTACACAAGCTGTCCTAGTACGTTTGAGCCGCTTTCCTCTGTCCCTCTTGCCTTCAATATGTTTGAAGCCTTTTTAGCTCAATATGTACCAAAAAAATTTCAAATCTATTTCTGATTTTTCTTTTATTTGTCTTTTCTCTTAAAGTTTGTCATAGTTCAAATATTTGGTCGATGGTATCGCCATCATCCTTCTGTAAAACAACTTTTCTTTTGCTTCAAGCTATTTTGGATGACATCGTCCAGCATTCACTGCCATATAAGAGGTCCTATATTATATAACAGTTCAGTACTCCTTTCTTTGTTTCCAATGAAAACTTTCTGTTTCTTAAAACTTTGTTTACCTCTTGGAATAGTTTTTTCGCTGTCCTCAATGCTCCTTTGGATTTCGATGTCACATTTTATGTCTTCTGTTAAAAAGCGTCCTATATATTTAATTTTTTGCACTAGTTTAATCTGTAATTCGCATGCTGGGTTATTTCTTTAGCTTACAACCATACACTCTGCCTTCTTACAGTTGGGAAAGTTACTGAATAGAATAATCACACGAAGGTTGGTAATGAACGATAATACTTAGGACAAGAACAACACACATAAGATTGACCAGCGGCGCGTAGAAGTAGTAGTCAACTGCTAGAAGTGAGTCAAGTGAATTCCACAACGGATCTCCAGCTGCAGGATATTTACCAAACCGCCCCACACAGACAGTTGTGGCACAAGGCCGAATTTGATGTGGAATATCCGAGCCCGTAGGCTAGGCCAAAAATTCCCCGTAGACTCGTATAAAACGGGGTCGGGTGGCTGTTTCCTGAGACGAGACTCTGCCCTTCGACATAGCCTCGTATGGAGATCTCTGCCTCCGGGCTGAGAGTTTTACGAGCACAGCTGGAATCGAATCTCCAACTTCAGACCAACATACAGTATTTACTACGGTATTTACGTGAATGGTGACATACCCATTATCATCCGTAGGTAAGCTACAACATGTTTATTCCTCGTTTCTGCAGTTCTCGTAGTTTTCTTTTTGTATGTGCCGTCATTACTATGTGATCTGCATCTCTAATGTTGTCAAGATTTTGCTCGCCAATAATGAATACTACCAGAAGCAGTTCTGGGATAGAATTAGAATTCCATTACTGATCCGTTATTTTTGTATAGCCTGTGGCATCCAACTTTCAATCCATGCTAATATGCTTCTTTGCAATGAGTTGCAATATTTTCTGATGCCTTGAAAACTCGTTGTCACTTTTGTAATGATCGTTTTGTTTTTAATCCTAGATGCAACAATAGTACGCCGTTGAACAATACTGGGGTCAGACGCCTTCGAATAGCACTCGCACTAATAGTACTTGTTCGATAATACTCGGTTGAGGAGTAATCCGTATAACGATCCGAAAAGAGAAACATTGTAGTGAATAGATTGTTAATCCGTATTTAATAGAGGATAGATAAAAAATAGATCCAAACAGTAATAATGGAAATGCGATCAATTAGATACACGCTCCTTCCTATATATGCGTTTCCTCTACTTAATTCAATAATGGAATCGCCTGTTTTTGCTCACTGGCGATCTATGTTCAAACTGAAGTGTCGGCAGCGACACTTTTTTCCTATATAACACAATAGTATTTTTTTTAACTTGCTTCAAGATCACCTTGTCAATATAGAACAGGTAACTGAATCACTTACCTTCAATGTATCCTTTTTGTTGTTTTTTAAATGGTTCTTTTTCTACACAAATTGTAGGGAGGTGATTTCTCTTTGTAGTTGCTATCTTGGATCCCTTTTTCACGTTTCCTTGTCTATTTTGTTATCTCCCGATTCTATATAACTTTATTTATATTTGTAGTTCCTGCTTCTACAGTTTGACTTTGGCCATTTGTCTCTTTGCAAAAAAGTATGTTTGTTGCCTTGAAAAGTAAGATTTTGTTTTAAATGGATCGCATAAAATGAATGGTAGTTCATTATTTCTAGGGACGTGGGTTTTCTTCTCCGTGTATTATTATTGTTAATTCATTTTCTTTTCTAATAAGATACATAATGGATATCACTGTTCAGTGAGAATCTTTAGGTTTGCTCAAATCTATAGCAAACCTCACCTATCAAAAGTATTGGTGGCATACCAATGTCGTGTTAATTTCAATTTTATTATGTACAGTATTTACATTATTTCCTCATCTTTGTTGCCATATTTGTCACAACGTTTCGGCCGTTGTACGCTCCGGCCTTCTTCAGGTGGTTGGAATTTCGAACTGAACCCTTTATTTTCGCTGGGGTAGACTGTTCTAATTCCATGTGCCATGTTTGATGGGTTATCAGTTATCTCCTGCTAATTTTCCCTCTTAACAGGAATTGAACTCACCTTCTTTGGGTCTGTCACTGGATCTAACCAACGCCTTTATCCACTGTGCCATGTGTCCTTGAGGACATCTGGGTATGAACTTCTGAGTATTATAAACCTAATGTTTTCAGCATCATTTTACCAGTGCTCATATTGCAATTTTTGCTGTTATCATTGCATGTCTTTACCAGAGTTCATATTGCAACTTTGTTATCATTGCTTTTCTCTGGCACTCCTTATTACTGGTTCCCATATTGTATTTATTTCTATGCTTGGTCGGCTCAGGAGATTTTTGTGGCCTAGCATATGTGCT